CCGCTCTGAGCACAGTTCTAAGTGTCTAGAGCGCAGCACTGTTCCTGGAGTATGGTGCTGTTCACGGAGCCCCCTCTTGGCATCACTAGAGTGGTCCCCCCAGAACGCCCCCACAACCCAGGACTCCCCATCCTTCCCCTCCCTAGTGGCTGCCTTTCTTTATGCTTCTGCGCATTTCATGACTTTAGATTCCCGAGTTGGGGGGAGCTGGATGGGGGTACACTCCTGTGTCATCCTACCACTAATGAGGACATGGGATACCTTGACTCAAAAAAACCCAAAGGGGAGGGGACCTGTCCTTCTGTGTTTTTAACACAGTATTCCATCAGCACACTGTCCTCAGGGTCCATCAGCGTTTCTGTATATGATACGAGTGATCTCTCTCACCCTTGCTTGGTGGCGGGGTGGGGGGTTGAAACAAGTTCTCTCTATGCAGTTCAGGCTGTTCTTGAACTTACTATGTAGCCCAGGCTGGTCTCAAACTCTCAGGGATCCTCCTGCCTCAGCCTCCTGAGTACTGGGATTATAGGTGTGGACTGTTGTGCTTGGTAGTACCGACCTCTTATGAAAGGTAGAATAATATTCCACTGTTTGAATATACTACGTGAAAATTACAGTTCATTTTTAACTTTCACTTTTTAAAAACTAACAAAGTATGAGAATCATTCTTTGGGCCGAGGTGTGTGGCTGGGGGGGCATTAATGCCTGTCTCTCCAGAGTGGGCGAGGGTTCCTGGGGCTGGGCTGGTGCCTTCATGAACAGGTCTTAATGAGGGGAGCTTGGCTTTCCGGGGTTGCACGCCTCTGCTGCCTTGGGAGGGGATCCTTCCACACTTGCTAGCTCCTCCTCCCAGCTGAGAGGCCACCAGGGGGACCGCGGTGCACGCCAGTGCCAAGCTGTTGGACCATCCAGACAGAATCATGAGCCAAACAGCTCTCTTCCTTATCAAGTCTCCAGCCTCAGATGTCCCACAGATGGACTGGGACACCAAGCACAGGCCTTAAGCCTGGGCTCCCAGCCCCAGCTCACTGCTGTTGCCTCTGTCTGCCAAGCTGTCCCTCCTCCCCCCATGTCCTTGTCACCATGCCTCTGCTTCCAGGTCCCTGGTAGCTGGGAGCCCAGGAATTCTGACGCCCCATCTCAGGGACTCTTCCCATTCACAGGGCGTGACGGGTGGCAGGAAGCAGGCAAAGAGCAGAGGTTCTAGCTTCAGCCCCATGGGCCCCAAGGAACCCTGGATACGCTGATTCCCAGGCTGCACGGAGCCTAGCTTGAGAGGAGGGAGCAATCTGCAGGATATTTAGAGACTTTGCCGGCATGGAGGCTGGGAAAAGGCAGACAGTGAGTTCAAGCCCTAGGAGACTGTAATTTCTGTTCCCAAGGTGTCCGACACGGCTGTTCAATTCCCTCACCAGGTCTTTGCAATTAATTGCCTCGGATGTAATGGAGGCTGATTACGTGCTGAACAAGGCCCAGGGGGGTAGGAGGGGGTACTGCACGGGAGGTGCGTGGTTTCTGTCCCCCGGGCCTAGACTCCTGGATGTGCACACAAGTAGAAGACATCAGCCCGTTCTGCTGTCAAGGCAAGAGCGCTTCTGAATGTGCCGTGCCTCGAGAAAGGGAAACGGATAGCTTCTATGGCTGCTGTGCCAGCGTCAACTCCTTTTAGGTGTGCGTCCTGGGGGTGGGCTTAGGAGCACGCATGCTGATTGGCCCAGGGAAAGACACGTGACGGTTCCGAGCCAATGAGAAGCAAGAGATTTGCTGGGGATCCTGGGAATGGCCCCAAGCTTGAAGCCGCCTAGGATGCCAGAGACTGTCAGGGTGACCATACTGCTACCAAGACGCGAGGAACAGTTAGGGTGTAAATGTGGCGAGGAGACCAAGAACATAGAGCAGAGAGGAGAAATGGCTTCAGAGCCGCTGGGTCCAACCATGCCTGATCCCATTCCCACTGGATTTTCTGTTCAGCAGGCTAGTATATTTTCTCTGCAGGCAAACCACTTCGACTTGAATTCCTGTTTACAAACAACTGAAAGAAGCCAGTCAAGAAAGGATGAGCCTGCGGGCCGGGGAGATAGCTTGGCAGTCTAAGTGTCTGCCTGGCGAGAGTGCAAGGACCCAGGTTTGATCCCTGGCACCAAAGCCGGGCGTGGTGGCGCATGTCCGCAATCCCAGGGGAGGCCAAGACAGAAGGATCACTACGAGTCTGAGCTGCATAGTGAGAGTCTGTACCAAATAAACAAATAAACAAATGATTAAAAAAAAAAAAGATGAATCTGGAACTAGGGCAGGCCGAGAGGAGTTCATGGGAGAGAAGTCGAGTGCACTGTGATTAAAGACAGGCGCTAGTGAGGGCGCAACACCTGGCAAGGCTGGTCGGTTTGACGTGGCCCACTCTTGGGCTGACAGAAGAGGTGACAGGGCTGGGGTGTGTGTGTGTGTGTGTGTGTGTGTGTGTGTGTGTGTGTGTGTACATTACTCAGGTGCTCTGATGGTAACACATGTGCTTCATAGTGTGTAACACACCTTGCGGGGCATGTGCCCCGCAAGGACGCTGAGTGGGTCTGTTTTTGTTACCCCTGAGAAGCTGGCATCCAGCAAGTGGCTGGTACCCAGGAAGCTTTGGATAAGTATTTGCGGGAGGGGTTGAGTAATGTCATCACACTCGATTACCACACCACATGCTGCACTCACCACAGATGGTGCCATGAAGATTGGAAGTGCTTCACATAAAACATGGCACGGCGCCTGGCACATAGTAGGTGCTCAAGAGACAGAAGTTCACGCTGCAAGCAGAGCCCACTGCAGCTCTCCGGAGCGAGTGCTGCACCCAAGCACCAAGGAGACACCCAATGTGTCAGACTCGGGGCCCTAAACCTCCTGTGCTGACTCCACGTGAGACGCCACGGCACAGTTCCTGGCAGTGGAGGCACGAGGGCAGCGTGGTGCACCTCAGGGACTGTAGCTCTTAGTCAGGTCTGACTCACATAGGAGCTTACAAAGGGCTGAATCAGTTGCCAGTATTTGCAAACCTGGACATTTCAGAGGTAAAAAGTGTGAAAATCTGTGGTTTCAAGGAAAAATCCACACGCATGGCTGTCCCGGCCCACATCTCCATGGGGCCCTGCCTGCCAGTTCCATTCCTACAGCCCCCACTGCTTCCGCCTGCTCGCTTGCTCCCAGCCTGCTGGCCTGCTGTCCTGCTGCACAGCTGCCCATCCCTGGGCCCTGGGGTGCAGTTCAGGACTTGCCACCATATCTCAGCTAATCCTGGGCTGTCAAAGTGAGCCAGGCCCTTGGCTGATGGCAGTGCGGATGGGGACAGAGGGGGAGGGTGAGAGTTAACAGGCTGGACAGTGGTGTGCATGCCCACGTGGAGGCCGGACGCAGATGGGGAAGGCAGAGTCGACCATTTTCACCATGCTGCATACATTCTAGACATGGGGAGTATGGACGACAGCCTCTCCTCTTCCTCCTCACCACCATCCTCATCTGTGCCACGGGTCCACAGACTGCCCCTGGGCCAAGTCAGGCCCGCTGCTTGTTTCTATAAACGGTGCCACTGGCACACAATGCTGTGTGGGCTGTGTGATGTCCCCCAAAGCCCTGTGTTGAAAGCTTGGTCTCCACCTGTGGCGCTGTCCGGAGTGGTGGGACCTCTGGGGGGGTGGGGACTTGGCCTTAGGGGGTCCTGGGACCCTGGCCCCTTCTGTTTTACTGTGAGGTGGCAAAGAGTCCTCTTACCATGAGGTCTTGGGAAGCCACAGGTCCAAACAACCACGGCTAGAAACCCCTTCCTGTGTGAGACTGGTAGTCTCAGGGGCTGTGTCCATGACAGAGCTAACGTGCTATTGCTGTTCCTACTGTCATGGCTGCTTCTGCACTCTGGTGGCAGAAATGGGAGGCTGCCACAGAGATTGCCTGATGTGTACAGCCCAAAACATTCAGAGTCTGTTCCTGCCCTGAGCTAAGCTGCTCTGTGTGGAGTATTTGTCACTTGCAAGGTGATATTTCTTGTGTTCTGCATGGCTCCACACACCTGGGCCTCAAGCGCCATTGTGACAAAACTACAACTTGGCATCACCACCCCACAGCAAGGTGGCTCTGATGACACCACCACTGCAGATGAGGAATCTGGAGCCAGGGGAACTCTGAGCATTTGGACTGGAAGCAGGTGTCGGCTCAGCCACCGACTGTCCAGTGCAGCCCCACAACTCATGTCAGGGAGATCAGAGAGACAGGTACTCAAGCCATGTGCAGAGATGTGCACAGCAACTTAAGTTGAGATGGACTCAAATTGGAGATAACCCAAGTGTCCATCAGTTGTTGGAAGAACAAACTCTTTCAGTGGAACAGAGGCGGACGGGACACCGGGGTGTGGTAGGGTGGGGTTGTGCTGCTGTAGGGGTGAATCCCAGCCCAGCACTGAGCAGGGGCAGCCTGGTGGGAAAGAACACAGCCTCTAGATCGGGCAGACACCCCATGTACTGGCTTCCGAGTGGGAGTTAGGATGGAAAGGGGCCTGGGCTGCTCCCTGCCTTGAGTGCGGAATGCCACGAAGGTCCCTGCAGTGGCCTACGCAAGAGCCACGCCTGTCACCTTCTGCCAGCTGAATTTCGACTGGAGACGAAACTGACCCGGAGGGAGGCGGCTCCGCGGATGCCCAGGCAGCTCTGCATGCTGCTGCACACAGCAGGCGCCTGACGCTGGACAGAGAGGGACCCAGGGTGCCTAGAGATGGGCGCTGGCCTGTGTCCAGCGGCAACTCACAGTAGCCCTACACCGGAAGCACCCACCACCCCGGTAGCAGTAGAACCAGCAGATAGTGCGCTGTGGCCTGAGAGCAGGATGCCACGCTGCCCAGGGCAACGCCAGACGGCGGAGCAGGGTCAGACAGCCTCTGAGTCGAGTGTGACAGCGCAGGCTCCAGGTCACGTGCTTCAGTGCGTGCCGGCCCCGCCCCGCCAGGCCACACCCCTCCCACGCCCACACCTTACCTTGGCGTAGTCGAAGCCATGCTTCTCCTTCACCCCATTGCGACACAGCGTATAGTTGTAAAAGCGGGAGTTTTTAAGGAGTCCGACCCACTCCTTCCAGCCCGGCGGCACGTAGGAGCCGTTGTACTCGTTGAGGTACTTCCCGAAGAAAGCTGGAGAGGCAAGGTCAGAGGCTGCGTGAGAGGGCAGCAAAGCCCCTAGGCGGCGCGTACGGAGGTGTGCGCACCCTCAGCCCCGCCGTGTGTGGCCAGCAGAGCCCAGGAACTCTTGACACTCTTTAAACTTGTTCTGCTTTGGTGGCACATGGGATTGAATCCAGGGCCCTTTCATGGAGCTACATCCCCAGCCTTATTGTTCTTTTTTTTCCCCCAGAACCGGGGATTGAACTCAGATCCTTGAGTTTGCCAGTCAAGCGCTTATCCTACTGAGCCATCTCCTCGGCCTTATTGTTCATTTTGAGACAGGTTCTCACTAAAGTTGGCAGACTGGGATCAAACTTGCAATCCTCCTGCCTCAGCCTCCCACAGCGCTGGGCCACAGGTGTGTAGCACCGTGCGTGGCCTGAGTGGAAACGTTTGATTCTGTGAAGTCTGGAATCACTGCAACGACAGTTTCCGTGGGTGACGCCGTTGCAGTCTGAGGATGCTCTGATTTATGGCCTGTGTTTAACACTGAAAGCAAAACCTGAGCTTCATTTACAGATTGATGACAAGAGTATAACTGCTTCCCATTCAAGTTTAGGGATGCTTCGAATTCTGCATGCTGCAGTGACCAGATGGCTAACCGAAAATGGACAACTCTAAGCGTTGTGTGGTAGCAGGGCCTCTCCCACGCGGCTGATGGGGGTGTGCCCAGGGGTCCAGCTTGGGGGAGCACTTTTTGGCGGCGTCTGCTACACCGGGACACGTGACTTCTGATCCAGCAACGTGGAAAGAAGAGCCTCTGCATGTCCACCAAGGGTCAGGCACAGAGCAGGCTCCGGGAGCGCATTCTAACCACCCAGAACCAGAAACGAAGCATACACTCCGGGAAGCGGAGGAAGCAAAGCATTTTCACATAACGGAAAACTATAGAGATTCGGGAAAGAGGCAGAGCTGCCTCTGAGAGCGCAGGTGCATCTCCGTGCACCTGATGCACGCCAGCCTGCAGTGCACATAGCATGAGCTCATTCACCAAGCGGAGACCCTGGGCCGGGCAGCAAGACGGTTGCTAGGGCTGGTGAGATGGCTCAGTGGTCTAAAGCATCTACTTAGAACAAGCTTAACAAAGTACAGGGACCGCGGTTCAATCCCCCAGC